TAAATCCTCTCTTTGCGACGAGAAACTTTTACGCGAGGCAAGAATACAGCGGAATCTCGTAGAGGACTACCAGCGTGCCAATATGTTAGGCATGACACATGATCAGTACCATACAGTCAAGTATGACTCTTATAGTTTGGTGAAGAATCCAGAAGCTCATTATGCAACTAACTACGATGTTCATGAACAACTAGTGGACTACCTTACTCTCTTGACAAATCAAGTCATTGAGAATACTGAGGATGGTGCAGCTGCGATTCCACAGGCTACAGAGATCTTCTTAGCCCTATACACTGTCACTAAGGAAGACATTCGAATTGATACGAGCAAGCTAGCAGACCTAGCAAAGACACCAATTGAGCAAAGACCCAAAATGATAGAGGCCATAGCAAAGGAAATACATGACCTCTGCTCTATTGGTGCATTTGAACTAGTTCCTATGCCTGATCGCGCTAGACCCATTGACTCAAGAATTGTCCTCAAGGTCAAATATAGAGCCGATGGAGCTTATGACAAGCACAAAGCTCGCCTCGTTGCGCGCGGCTTTCTTGCGCGCCTTGGCGTAGACTTCTTTAGCACTTTCAGTCCCATGGCTTCTCTTACCGCTGTACGAATGATGTTCTCCCTGGCAGTTAATCAAGGCTTCGATATTTGGCACTGCGATTGCTGTCTGTCTCTATATCTCCATGACTATACTGTAGTACAGTACGCTACACTACCACTACCCTACTACCATCATGCTAGTACTGTACCTACCCTAGTTAGGCTCTCCTTCCCGTTCCCCCTCCTTTATAATCAGTTACTATCTTATGACTGCGCTACCGTAAGGTAGCACACTGAGCTTCCCCTCTCACCCACTGTGCCTATCCTGCTACTACGGACTGTACCTTAACGTCAAGTTGACGTACGGGACTTAGTTTCTTTACACGAGAGTCGAGCCCGATGAAAGCCTCGATGAGATTCTACCCCCGGCGAGATTTTGGCCGAGGGTCGCTCGACCTTCAACTAGTGTTAGAGAACTGCAGGAGCCGGCAGATGCAAGTACGCGACACGTTGGAAGGCTCGGGCCGCCCGCGCATTCAACGACGCACTCGGCGCCTTTGCAGGGCACGAGAGTCGAGCCCGATGAAAGCCTCGATGAGATTCTACCCCCGGCGAGATTTTGGCTGCGTGCGAAGACATGGCGAACTCTCCCTAAATCCATTTAAGGAGCGTGGGCCGGCGCTCATTCGCTTGCAAGCCGCCACGCCCTTCGAGCAGACGCGCCGTTGGCCCCTTAGGGCTACCCAGAGATCTCTTTGTTCAAATGGTGATATACGACCAATGAAAAGCGAGCTCATTTGGACGCCTCCGAAGCGTCGCCGTTCGCCGCGACCGCCCCACGCGGAATCCCCAGGGAGACGCCGCCACAAAAGTCGCGTACGCTAGAAGCTACAAAGGGCCCTTTCGCCATACTAATTCAGTCGAAATTTGAAGACTTCACAAAGTTCACTATGAGTCGTGCTTTGACAAGTCGAGATTTGGTCTTGCCAAAATGTCAGGGAAAGTCAAATGACAGCTAGCTGGATATTGTTCAATTACGGGAAGGTGCAATATTTGGGGGGATGCCAATTTAATGTATGACTGTGCCAACTCGCGTGCGAATGTCGATCCAAGCCGAATAGCACTGAAGTGAAGTGTTCATACTTACTGACATTTGCGCAGCATTTCAACTCGCAATGGAAACAGATGGAATATCTTCGGGTAAATGTCGTCGGATCCATATTTTTGAGAGCCAAGATCCCTCTGAGGCACACTCGTCCAATCAGACATGCTGTTTCTTGTTCTCTTGCTATTACAAGATTCCTCTATGAGGCAATGCCAAACTTGATGCAGGCCAGGTGACACTAGGTATCGAAAGGGTGACACTAAGTATCGAAGTGGAACTAATTCCCGAAGAGAGTCGGCATTCGGGTCCGCCGCAAGTATGCTTGTCTCGCCGCGACGGCCTCGATCTCAGAAAGCTCAGCCCAATCTCCGTCGTCAAAATTGATCTCCCACAGCTTCATCCGCCGCATCTGCCCCCCCCGCCGATACTTCACGTCCGCGCGATATATCTTGGTGACGCTGCCATCGTACGCTTTGCCCTTGTTGTAGAACTTGGTGACGCGGTCGCCATTCTCCGGCACCGCCCCCAGGCCAAACTTTCTTTTGTTAAAGGTGCCGTACGCCTCCTTGTACCAGCTCTCGTCTTCGGCGAGCTCCAGGACCGTGTACAGCGGACATTGGA